GTTAGCTTACTGGGAATCGAACCTGTCGCCCCCAAATGGCGTGTGCGCCTCACTAAAGGCTAGAGACTAACACTTTCAGGGCCAAGCAGAGAACCCTATGTTTGTGACAGAAATTCTGTATTCCTGTTTCAGGTTTTTTGTTTTTTTGTGTGTCTAGTGTCTTCAACGATCTGCGTCATCTTTTCTGACATTCAGTTCTGTTATTCGAAAGCTAATCAATACCTTCAGATGGGTCAGTAATATTCATTTAGTGTTCCATTTACCCTGTCTTGTCGGTCTTACATTCACAGAACAATTATAACTCTAAACGAGAAGTATGAATATTCATCTTCATGAATATTCAGCTTCACAACACCACAAATGGTGGCCTGTTGTCAGAAAACCAGTGGTGCCTTGTGCGGTTAAGTGTATGTGCAATTACTGATTTGCTGCAACTGCTGCTTCCATCAATAAATCAACAATGAACTGCATTTCTAGTGTCGGACTATTTGCGATGGCACTTATGATTGCTGCATTATTTGTGTGAATGATGTACGCTTTGCTGAGCTCCAGTCTGGATCAAAGTTGTGTTTTCTACAAGGGGCATTTACGTGCATTTTGTGTGGTTTTCGTTGATATGGGAGCGGAATGAATATGGGCTGTCTCGTTTGCTACGAGGTTGGAACACCCATCATCTGATTACAATTAGGGCTGCCGAAATTATTTTGGGAATAGTACCAAAACTTTTTTCTTTTTTTTAAATGGTACCAAAACACAGCAAAAGGTACCAGATTTTCAATTGTCAGTTAAAAAACCTTTAGGATGTTGTTTTTTATTAACCATATAAATAACAGAGGTACGTTATATTTGAAAATAAATGAAATTCTGTGTCCATTACGTCGTTGCTTACCAATTTTTTTTCCCTCTTCTTATACAGCTGCTGTGGCGGCTTACAACTGGTGCAATTGATGTCCTGAAGAAATTACTTTGATATCATCAATGCATAAAATGTTAAAGTCTTCACAGAAGAGTGATTTTTTTTTTTTGGGGGGGGGGGGGGTGGAGATTAAAAATCGTAATATTGTTTAGAAGAGAGAAAACTGAAACGTACCAAAACATCGTGCGCGGTACCTAAAGTACAGCTGTTCTCGGCAAAAATCAGATAGTACCAAATGTGTACGAAAGTACCAACTTCGGCAGCCCTGATTAAAGACATGAACTACAAAGATAAAATGTAGGACTTGTATCAGCAGACGATACAAACAATGATACACTTACAAACCAGAATACATAAAAATCACAAATGTTTTTCAGTGAGACCATTTACAACATATTCATGAGTACTTGGAGAGTAGTCACCGTGGTGTAGTGACTAGACGCTCGCCTGCCGATCGGAAGGCCGTGGGTTCGGGTCTTCATGCAGCCAGACTTTTTTATCAAAAATGACGTTGGCTGCCAGGTCAACCCAACCTTGAGTGGATACCAAGTACAAGTCATGGGACATAAAGACAGCCAGCGCTATTATGACCTCGTCACCAACCAAGTGCCGAGTTGTCTTTCAAATATAGGCCTAGCCCTATATGCCCGATACGCTTGACTGCGTGGAAAAGGGTCCTTTACTTTTTACTTAGACAATAGAATCTTTGCAATTTGCGTGTAGTTGCGAGAATATTCACACACAAAAATACAGATAATGCCAAGGTCGATATGATAATCGCTGAACATATTCTGACAATGTCAAACCCAAGCCCAAATTATGCAGATAGCTAATTGTGCAAATTATGCTTAGTTGGACGCATTTCGTAATTTGAACATTATTTTATTTGCATTTCGGAACTTAAAATGTCCTCGCTTGTTTTGTTTCCGAATCGGACGAGTGAAATTGAAATAGAGCAAGAATTGAGATTAATTGCTTCATGGGAAATAAGCTGATAGTCGTTGCATTTAATGTATTATCTTTTTCTCTGTCTTTTCCCGCGGTTTTTGTTGAATTCAGAGCCAAATCTGGCGTTCCAGTGGCTGTGTTCATAACGTCAAGAATTAACCGGAGACAGGTCTTTCAAAAATGGGTTCTCTTCCTGGGTATTTTCGTTGACGTGTGGATTTTTGAAAAGTAACATTCACGAAACAGTGTTTATGCTTCATAATGAATACATCGCCTAGACGTTGTCGGCAACACATTCCAGTGGAACGGCTTCTGTTCTGAAAGAAATATGTGTTCTGTATTCGGTTTGTGTTGGTGTGTAACGGATTTAAACAGCGCCACAGGAAACAAGGTGTCAGAACTGACATTTGCCAGGTTTTTTGACAGCGTGGGCATGTGCCGACATTGACAAGACTAATATTTACATTATCATTTTTTTTTTTAAATTTGGCATTAAATGTAGAAAAACCTATGTTATTATACTCTGCTTTTTCTTCTTCTGCTGCTGCTGCTTTTTCTTCTTCTTCTTCTTCTTCTTCTTCTTCTTCTTCTTCTTCTTCTTCTTCTTCTTCTTCTTCTTCTTCTTCTTCTGCTGCTGCTGCTGCTGCTGCTGCTGCTGCTTCTTCTTCTTCTTCCTTTTCTTCTTCTTCATCTTCTTCTTATTTTTCTTCTTCTTCTTCTTCTTCTTCTTCTTCTTCTTCTTCTTCTTCTTCTTCTTCTTCTTCTTCTTCTTCTTCTTCTTCTTATTCCTCTTCTTCCTGCTCCTTTTCTTCTTCTTCCTGCTCCTTTTCTTCTTCTTCTTCTTCTTCTTCTTCTTCTTCTTCTTCTTCTTCTTCTTCTTCTTCTTCTTCTTCTTCTTCTTCTTCTTCTTCTTCTTCTTCTTCTTCTTCTTCTTCATCATCATCTTCTTTTCTTCTTTTTCTTTTTTTTCTTCTTCTTCTTTTTCTTCTTCTTCCTGCTACTCCTCCTCCGGTTCCTTCTTCTTCTTGATTATAATGCTATTATCGTAATCCCCCCTCCCTCCTAAACCAGCATACATTTTGGTTTTTGGCCACCCAGAGAAGTCCCAGCTGTTGAGCTGATTTGAAAACCAATATCGGCGCACTTGTTTTTGATTTCGGTTTGTCTACCATAGTCCGAACACGAATTTACTGGAAAATGCTATACAAGAGCTCCATTCTACTTGCGATAAAGGAGACACATATACTTGCTATATGGAGACGCGTACTGCTCGCTGTAAAGGAGACACATGTTACTTGCTATAAAAGAGACATATATTACTTGCTATAAAGGAGACACATAGTACTTTCTATAAAGGAGACACATACTACTGGGTCAGCGAGATCCACTGTGCTATAAATTAATTGTATTTACTCCAACTGCTACTTCTATTACTACTCCTACTATTGTTGTTGCTGCTACTGCTGCTGCTGATACTACTACTGCTACTGTTGCTCAGATGGTGCTACTACTGCTGTTACTAATGCTGCTGCCGTTGCTACTAATACGATACTGCTATTAATACTACTGCTGCTACTGGTACTACTACTGGTGTTGCTGCTACTACTATATTACTATTACTACTGCTGCTGCTGCTGCTACTACTAAAATACTAATAATAATACTACTGCTGCTGCTAATACTACTGGTGCGACTTCTACTGTCACCACCATGACAACAGCTATCCAACTGCCGCTACTACTGTCACGGCGATGACAGTTTACTACTACTAGTACTGCTGCTGCTGCAACTACTATTACTACTTCTACTCCTTCTACTTTTGCTACTGCTACGGCTGCTGCTGTTGGTGGTGTTGTTGCTGCTGCTGCTGCTACTACTACTACTCTATTACAAGGACAACGAAAGTGCGATTCTAACTGCTGCTATTGTCATTGTCTTCGTCGTCGTTAACATTCTTATCTCCCTTCTGGGAATATCTTTCCCGATACTACTGGAAATGGGTCTGTAGACAAATGTTTTGACATCCCTGTGCATTCACCACTTTAGCCCCGGATGTTCGTGTCATCAGCCATAATCAATATCTGTTAATTAATTTATCCTGTTACTTCATTATCCTGTGCGTTTTCCTGTTTTGATACCTGGTTTCTGATGCAAGGTTAATTATCTCTTAGACGTTCATTAGCTCATCTAAAACCTTCTCATTGATGCATGTTTATGTGTACACATTGTACGAGAAACGAGAGACAAAAATTGATTCGTCGATTCAATCACGATGCATTTGTGTATCTTGTTCTATTGACCTTCTTTGGGAGTTCCACTTATGGGCAATTTCTTGTTGTAATGCACAGAAAGATGCCATTTTTGGAAAGTGTGATGTCTTTCAGTGTGTCTACCGCCATCGAGCCCTTTTTAAACTCTTTGTGAACCATGGAACGTTAATTAGTCAGTCCGAAGACAGTGCGCATTTCTGACTGTTACCGCATACAATTTGTTATGTCAGCTTCTAGAATTATTATTTTAACTTCCCTGGGACTCTGATATTGGCTACTTTATCTAGATTTTTTCGTCCGGTACTGAAATATGGGTCTACTGATGGGTGGTCGCTCAGTGTTGCAAGCTATACAAAATGATTAGCAGCCAGCACAAGAAAATGACCAGCTTGTGGACATACTACAACATACGCGTAGAACATGGCTCCAAAAGGTTGAGGTGACTGGGTCACACCTGGGAATGGAGGATGGCAGAGTCCCTTTATGGTGAATTAAAGAAGGGGGGGGGGAATGTCGAGGCCGACCTCAAATACGATATAAATATGTGTGCAAGCGGAACATGAATGATACAAGTATTGAGGTGGACTCCTGGTAACAAAATATTATGGACCGGGTTGTGTGGAGGGGACACATCAGGAAGGGAATGAGAATGTAGCAATACATGATTGCAGAACGGATTAGAGCTGCGCGTCTGAAAAGAAACACATCAAACACAAATGTTGACAATAACGAACCTGAAATCCAATTCTATAATTGTGGAAGACTTTTCTTAACGTTGGCGGGCTTTAGGTAGTCACACTCGCAGTCGCCACAGGCTGTGAGTTCCATGCCTCCTCATAGCGCAGTATAACACGTTCCTCTGGAAAGACAGAAAAGTACCAATCAATCAAAACAGTCGACTTCGCAGCCACATGTACACATAATTTAAGGTTAGTGAATCAGCCATGTTGACATGTGGATTGACACCTGAGACAATAGATCACATCCTCCAAGACTGTCCCAGATACAACGTACGTATCACGGCAAAACTGAAGGCCAAGAGAAACACCGGTGCAAGCCAAACTGTACAGGTCGCTAAGTGAAATACAAAAGGCAGTGACATTTATACTAGAGACAACACTGCAGTTATAAGTTATCTATTTCAAACGAACGAAGGGGGAAAAAAGAAGAAATAGGCAGCACAATTCTGCTAGCTGGCAATATCCCGTCATTTTACTCAGTCGCAAAGTGTTATCAATGTTCGCAATATAGGTTGGTTACAATGGATTTCCAACAAGCTCTCTCCCTCTCTCTCTCTCTCTCTCTCTCTCTCTCTGTTTGTTTATTATACACTGTCTGCCTGCTGTTCGTCCTTCTCTTGATGTGTACGTCCCACTTATATCACCGTCTACCCTTTGCACCCTTGCTTCTATAATCTCCCCCGGAGTATAGTTTTTGATAAGCGTCAGTCTCTTAAACGACGTTCTCCTTTCTTCTGTTTGCAGCCGCTAAAACGGCAAAGAAGCCAAAGATCTGCACGCAGCAGTACCTCGTCTGCCAGACGACGACAAAATGAAGATGGCTGTGTCACCTGTTTAAGAGGAACGTTACACTGCTACAATGTATTTATTCTGGTAAGTGTGTGTTACTGTGTGCTGCATCTGAAGTCTGCTGATAGTCATTTTCACCATCATCAGTTTCAGATTTTGTCGTTAAATGTCGAGGGGAAAAAACAGTTTACGATCCAATGTCTGACGGGCAGCTCCGTGTCGATGTAGATCTAATGCCACCAGGTGATATTTTGCCAGTGTAACCTCGTTTCTTGAAAGATTCTCAGAATAACTTGGACAAAGAAGATGAGAAATATTGACATCTTGAAAAGATCTGAACATCAAGGAAGATTGGCTAATAAACAGCATCCTTTCTCGAAAGCTGGTCATATCAAGCGCCACGACGAATTGGAAATTTTTTTAGCAGAAGGCATGGTACCAGGAAGGAGGGGCAGGGGCCGACCGACACGAAGATGGGCACAGGATATAAGTGAGTGTGAAAGTGCATGAGGCGGGAGAACTGGCGAGAGAGCGACGTTCTGCAAAGGACCTGCTACGTGATGATGATGACCTCTTGTTTTCATTGTCGTAGGATATTTTTTTCATGTGCAGCACCTGTGTTGCACCGGACATCTCATTCCACAGGTTTCTGAATGTGAAGAGGGAGAGGTGTTTAGAAGGAGAAAGTCGATAAATCTGGGGCTGTCTCCACACTGAAGGTTGGCTGCAAAGGATCACCAACACTCTCTGTCTCTTGTCTTGGTAGTGCACCCTCTCAGACCGTTGTTCCTCCATCTCTTGAGATTGTCATCCCACTTGTATCATTGTCTACCTCATGCTCGTTTGCCTTCGACGTGTCCCTACGATAGTGTTTTTAAAAAAGTGTTATGGCTTTTAATTTGGCCGAAATATTTAAATTTTGATTTTAAATATTTTTTTTTAAATTTCTTTTAGTGCCTTTATTCATTCGGAAGAGTCAAAAAAATCAAAGGTTTTCATAACTTTAGGATTAAACACTAGACAAATAACCGATTTTATTGCAGCTTTTACCCAACCCGAGTTAGGATGCATTGCAGGAAAAGAAGATTCACGGTGGCTTTTATGGAAAAAAAAACAAAGCAAAAGGCCTATTCGATTGGTTTGCGATGAAAAGTGCCAGATTGTGTCAAAGGCCCCACTTTGAGAGTGCTTTCCGCCAGATATTGTCCTTTGAGCCTCTCAGACAAGATGATGGCCTCAAAATGGCTAAAATGATTTTGCGGGGATAGAATGCGAACAAGTGGAAATAGGAGAGGGGAGATAACCTCACTTTGAAGAATTACTGATTTCTTTCTGGTTCCGTTTTCTCTTTTGCACTGCAGAGCTAGGGCACTTAAACATTTCTTTTTCCTTTTTCCTCCTGCTTGTGCTGTTCTTTCTTTCTTTCTTTTGTTTTTTCTCCATTTGACCATAGATTCTTCAACAGCTCATCTCAGGCCCTTTGGCGGCTCACGAAGTTTAAATACGGCTCCAACTTGGGACTCCTTTGTTATTTTTAAGTCCCCCTTGGGTTGCTTTTGGGGGACCTAAAATAACCAAGCCTATGGGTTGAATGGGGTTTCTGGGACCTTTCCTCGGGTGATCATCAGCATTCGAATGGTGGCACTTTATGTCACCCGGTGTTTATCGCTCGGCGTGATGTCCCCTCAGAGACATGGTTTTACAGAAGAATGCTTAGAATACCTTGGACAGCCAAAAAGAACAACCAAGAGGTTTTGAAAGAGACGGGAGCCCGAAGAAAACTTTTCACAGACATCAGAAGGAGACAGTCATCATTTTTCGGCCATGTTATGAGAAGAGGGAAAATAGAACATGTTGTGACCACTGAAAAGATCTGTGGAAGGAGGGATAGAGGAAGACAACTAGAGAAGATTCTTAACGGTCTTGTTGCATGGCATGGAGGTGTGTCGGCACACGAACTGATGCATGCTGCAGGAGATCGTGGTTTATGGAGAGGCATGATCGCCCACGCCATTCGGCAAGGCACCTGATGATGATGATGATCTCCTAGTGGGGTTGAACGTCAATCAGTTAATCAATCATGAAGCTGCATTCACATAGAAGCCGCCTAAACATATTACATATCCCTAAACCAATGATAGATCTATACACAACACATTTAGCGTACTCCGCAGCTCAGCTGTGGAACCATCCTTCACAACAGCCCCATACAAACAACAGGAAACGTCCTCTTTGTCTTCTTCTCTTCCACCTGGTACCTCAGCGAAGTGTCGGGGGATGGGGGGAGGGGGGGGGGGGTGATGTAACATTCATTGTTGAGCTTTTTCAAGAGAACTATCAAGACTGATGTTCATTTATGTAAGGCTGTTCCTAATGCCATCACTATATGTTTTCCAAGGTCTTCCACTCGCTCTATACCCGTTGTAACGTTTTAGTGTGGCTCGCTGTGGCGGATAGTACCAGGACATTCTTGTAAGGTGTCGGAAACTGCCCCCCTTGAAAGAGTATTTTAGAAATAGAGTATATCTCACGTAGATTTATTACACTTACAGAGGTTTACTGTGGTTAGAAATGTAGGTCTAATTCAAAGACATTCCAATTATTGTATTTAATATTCAGCTGTAAAGGGGGGGGGGCTGGGTGGTCTCGAGGCATGGTGTCCCCCTCGAGTGCTACAGGTTCTGGGTTCAATCCCCGGTAAGGGCTGGGATTTTTCACGTGGACTCGGACTTCTAGTAATTTCCCCTGGTCTCTGGGTAGTGAGATCGGACGCCCGTGTGCATTGTTTTGCACGTAAAAAAATCTCTTAGCTGTTGAAAATCGAAAAGATTTGCCTAACGGCGCTGCCCTGGCAAAATTAAGAGTTAAAAATCTACCCAAGTATTTCAGGATCCTCGCCGGTGCTACAGAGCCTGTGCAATGTGCTGAGCTTCTTCGGACTCAGACTTGAGTTAGAAGAAGAACGGAGCACATATGGGTGACTACCCGTGTGCCATACAGATTTGAGTTAGAAGAAGAACGAAGCACTTATGGGTTATTACCCGTGTGCCATACAAACTTCACGTTCAGTTAGAAGAAGAACGGGGCACTTATGGGGTTACTATTCGTTGCGCACGTAAAAAAAAAAAAATCCCCTGACGGTTAGAAATCTAAAATAGTAGCCTAACGACGCTGCCCGCGCAAAATGTGTGGAGTTGAACATCTACCCAAAATTATTTTAGGATCCTCGCCGGTGTTAAGGAGTTCATGCACCGCGCTGAGATTCTATGAACTTAGACTTGAGTTAGAAGTAGAACAAAGCACTTATGGGTACTACCCTTGTGCCATGATGTTGATCCGTTGTTTGAACTAAACTTACATTCTCACAGATTAAAAATGTACCCACCGATCTCAGACTTCCTCTCCGTTTGCTATTTCAGTTAGTCGGATGTGCAGCATTAGGTATAGGTATATGGCTCCTGGTTACAGACTTCGGGGCCAGAAAGGTGACACCCATCGTCGGCAACCAACTGTACGAGGTAACCACCTACTTGTTGATAGCAGGCGGAGGAGCTGTAGCACTGCTGGCCTTCTGTGGCTGTTGTGGAACTATACGAGAGGATAAATGCGTGCTTTCTTTTGTGAGTATATCATCCAGGTTATGAAGACCATCTGTTAGATTAGCAATGTCTGTCCTGTGTAAGTCCATATACGTGGGTTCACATGCTTGTGTATGTGCATATGTGAGTGTGTAATTTTATGTGTCTGTTTATCATAAGTTAAAGTTAGTTGCCTATACTTTACAAGATGTTGCTGAAACAACCCAAGCAATTTTTTGGCTGTTGTGGTTTTTCTAGGCAAATTTTACTTTCTGTAGTTTGCCATTGCTCCTGAACGGTCAGCTGTCAGTACCTTTGTCGAAACTAACGCAAGATAAATCGTCCACAGCTAGAATCGAACCCACCACCCAGGCATTGCGAAACACATTCGCAGTGTCTAAGCTACAACATGTTTCATAAGATGAGGTCATATTTTCTAAAAACAAAACACACATATGCACGCCCACACACACACACACACAAGCACACACACACACACATGTACACGCCCATACAAGCCCACCCACACTAAAACTAACATTATTGAAAGCTGCCAAAGGTGGTGGTTGTGATTCCATCTATGATATTGAACTGATTGCACAGAATTGAAGGGAATGGAGAAATAGGCTGCAACAGGAAAATGAATGAATTAATATACAGCTCTAAAAAAGGGGCAATCGGTATACTTCAGTCATATAATGAGAAGAGAGGCAATTGGAGAGCATCGTGATGATTGGAAAGATCCACGGTAGTAAAGGCAGAGACAGACCATAAGAGATGGCACTTGATGGCCTGAAGTGATGGCATGGTGTGATATCATCAGTGGATTTTATTCAAAATGCCAGGGAGCAAGATCCTAATTGCATTTTTCAACCAGAACTTTCCGCCAGACTTTACTGCTGGTAAACTTGAAGAAGAAGAAGAAGAAGAAGAAGAAGAAAAAGAAGTATTTAAATGGCAGGCAGTGGCAATAATATTTAAATAAAATAGTTTGTGTTGAGTGTATTTTTCAGTATGTATGTAAAAGATGGTGACAAAAGTATCAAGCTAGATAGAGTTTATGTTAATTCTTCTTCTTCTTTTTCTTCATGTCGAGCCCTTGAGATTCATTCTTGTAGATATCACCCACCTCCATTCATCTCTCTGGTTGGCCATTTTCTTTCCAGTTGGTAACACCAAGTGTTTGCAGTTCTGTCTGGATGTTATCTCTCCATCCTTTTCTTGGTCTGTCTCAATGTCTGACTATTCAACTCTCTTGTTTACACAGTTTTTTTACCTCAATCATCGAACATCTCTATATGCCCCAGCTATTTCAGTCTATTAGCCATCGTTACCTTAGTGTTGATTTAAACAGGTTATAAGTGTGTCACTTTGTGGTTACCTTGGTGAAACAGAGAGTGTGAATTTAGTTTATATGTTTTAGTTTGAAGGTTTCATTTATTTGCTTCATTAGTTACTGTAGTATGCACCTGACTAGATACAGCGAAATATGCCAGGCAATAAATTGTGCAATCTTTTGTTTGTGTCTTTTTTGTTCAAATTATGAGTTTTTTTTTTATTCTTTATTCTCCATGTCCTGCTGTTTGCATCTTTGATGGGTCCAAAGCTTCATCTTGGGCTTTATGTTAACCGAATGTCAATATTCATGTGATAAACATTGCTTTTAATGCTAAAATAAAATATGTTTTGTGTTAAATGCTAAAACTTTTCTTTCTTATCCACAGTATGGAACAACTTTAGCAATTGTTCTCATTGTTTTAGTGGCAGCGTGTGGTCTGGCTTTTTTCTTTAGAGGAGAGGTAAGTCTATTTGCTCATATCTTATCATAATGAGTGGTTATTTTTTTGTTATTCTTTAGCTTGCGCTTGGAACTCTCTGGTTCACACCCAGTGTGCCTTTGAATATTGTTTCTTCCTTCAGTCTCACAGCGAAAAGGAATTTTTTTCTGTAGAAAATATTGTGGAATTAAAAAACAAGAAAAGAGGAATTTTTTTCTGTAGACGAATATTGTGGGATTACAAAACAAAATGTTGAGGCCGTCCTCCGTGAGACAGAAGAAAGTCTCAAACTGAGACTAATGTTCTAGCCTCAGCTACAGAAGAGCAACCAAGCAGCACTGCTGATATTGGATTTATATTCAGTGTTGTGTGTCCTGGTTTCAGCTGAATAACGCAGTCATGGAACTATCTCATGGAATGATTGTAGACCCATACTTTCTCCTTGTCAGTGAGAGAACGTGCGGAAAACAGTAATCTTGGCTCCACACATCATAAAATGTAGTTTAGTATCCATTTCTTTGGGGAATGATTTTCATTGCCGTGTGTCTACAGTGGAATTAAGGAATCATCTGACACACTGAATCAGATGGATATCAAAGGTCACTGTAACTTGACAAATAAAAATCAATTAAGGGAATGATCCTATCACCATGCATCATAAGATATGATTTCTCTTTCTCCTGCTCATCCTTCTTCTCCTCCTCACTCTCCTTCTGCATCGTCTTGTTCATTTTGTCTTTCTTTGCTATGCTGTTCTTCTTTCTTGTTTTCTTTTAATTCCTTCTTCTTCTTCTTCTTATTCTGCTTCTGTTTTTCTTTTTTTCTTCTTCTTCTTCTTCTTCTTTTCTTCTTCTGCTTCTTCTTCTTCTTCTTCTTCTTCTGTCTTCTTCTTCTTCTTCTTCTTCTTCTTCTTCTTCTTCTTCTTCTTCTTCTTCTTCTTCTTTCTTCTTTTCTTCTTCTGCTTCTTCTTCTTCTTCTTCTTCTTCTTCTTCTTCTTCTTCTTCTTCTTCTTCTTCTTCTTCTTCTTCTTCTTCTTCTGTCTTCTTCTTCTTCTTCTTCTTCTTCTGTCTTCTTCGTCTACTTACATCAGTGTATATCAGTTGAGGTTAGTATTGTGAAAAAGCTTGTTTCTTTGCAGAATCCAGCATTTCATTTCATTTGATGTAGTCATATCCCGCAGCAGTTAAGATTGTTCTCAATTCTTTTCTTGCAGCTTGCGTCAAAAATCCAACACCGCATGCGAGATACATTGTCTGTAAATTATGGTTATGAAATTCGCACCAATTCCGAGAACAGACGAATTACAGAAGCTTGGGATGCTATGCAAAGACAGGTGACTTATGTTCTAGCAGTATTCTTTATGGGATTACTTGTATTTTATTGGTTCAGTTGCTTTTATTGTGTAGTATAACAAGTGAATTAAATTATATTGGGTCAGTTTTCACATCTGAAGGAAGAATAGACAGTGGAATGTAAATAAACGTGCAAAAGTAAACTAGGTACTGTGACAACTAACATCACATTTGACACACAGAAGGATACCTTTGTCTGCCAAGACAAGTCTAATAAGAACTAATTTTTGGCCAACTTTTTGTTGCCAGGTCAAATATTTGTCCTCACTAAAGCTAATAAATGCCCGGTTATAACAACAGACATTAGATAACTTAGGAAAACTACTGGAGTTACAAGAAGAAATAAAATAAAAAACAATGAAAATTAAAAGAAGACTATAACTGAGACCAGTCATGTATTTCATTGAAGATCAACAGTTGGTTTAGCCAACTATAACTGAGACCAATCATGTAGCTAATTGAAGATCAACAGATGATTTAGCCAACTATAACTGAGTTGTCATGTAGTTCATTAAAGATCAACAGATCGTTTGGCCAACAATAACTGAGACCAGTCATCAACAGATGGTTCAACCATCTGACAAGAATTCCCTGGTACTGACTGCTATGGTGTGGGTTCCACGGCCCCGTTGTGGGGACAACAAGAATAGATCCACTGCCTCCCTAACATTTATGGTGTAAGTCAGAGTGCATCTGCTTGAAAGGCAAGAAACCAACAGTCTGCAAAAAAAGCCAGATCTGTAAAATACATGCATCACTCAAGTTCTGTAACAAGGCTAAAGTCCAGAGCTGGAGAACAACCAGAACTTACTTTCTGCCAGAGTTTACAGCTGGTGAACACAAAGAAGTGAGGTAGAATGACTAAGAAATATATGGTGAGCTGTTGGTACCGAAAGAGGTAAACAACAACCTTAAGGATGTGAAGATCATTGTACAGAGTGCATTACAAAGAATGAACAAATTTATTTTCTGTGGTTACAAATTGGGCGCACAGGCATGTCTTACATTTGGCCCTTTGAGCATTCATCTTTTATACAGCTGTTGCATTTTATATATCAAGCATATTATGTCCATATTTCACATTTTATTTATAACTGTAGGTTAAAAATACAAAGGCATGGATGAAAAATGCAAACCTTCCAATGTATATGCAAAAATACTCACACATCACGCACACATACTTCATCCTTACACACCCAAGGGCACACACATTGATGACACACACACACACGCACGCAGGCATGCACATACTCATGCATGCACGCACACACACAACTCACACACACAACACACACACAATATACACAACACACACACACAACACATATATATATATATATAAAACATAAACAGACATAATACAATCAAAGACAGAACACATACACAAAGACACAACTCAACTCAGTCACAACATCTACACACAGACATGACATTCACACAGATAACACACACTGATACATCATGCACATGCATACATATTCTCACAGACACAACACATACATATAGACAAAAAACATCCATACAGACTCAATACAAGCACATCGTTCACAAACACAGCACAAATAGACCAGCAGACACACACAGAAACAAAACTCACACACCACAACACTCAGACACAAGACTCGCGCACGCACGCGCGCACGCACGCACGCACGCACACACACACACACACCCCCACACACCCCACCCCACCCCACCCACACACCCACACACACACACACCCAACCCCACACCACACCCAACCCCACCCCCACCCCCCTGCTCGTGCGCATGCATGCACGCACGCACGCACACACACACACACACACACACACACACACACAGGATCCTCATAGCTTCCCTAAAACTCTTCACTGGGGTAATTTGAGGAAGATTACCAGTTATTATTGTCACTTGTAATTATTTGTAATGTTCTGCTAAGATTGGTATCCCGTTGTGTCTAATTCACCCCTTGTTTTTTGTTTCATGTTTGTTCTCATTCTTGAAAATGTGCTACAAACTTGCTCTCTGCAGTAGAGAGATCTCAGGTTTGGCTGGTGGGCATTCCAATAGAAATGAATCTTTATAGAACAGTGGATGACATGAGTTACGCCACAGACTTCACAGATGCCTGTGGTGTTCTCATCTAAAAAGGACTGGCAGAAGAAGAAGATATATTTATCCTGTATTGGTCGGGGTAGGAAACGATGGTTGCCTCTTTAAGAAGCATGTATTGAAAGTTTGAGGTTTTGAACAACGGATCAACATCATGGCACACGGGTGTAACCCATAAGTGCTCCATTCTTCTTCTAACTCAAATCTGAGTCCTAAGAAGCTCAGCACAGTGCACAGGCTCTGTAGCACCAGTGAGGATCCTGAAATACTTTAGGTAGATTTTTAACACAAAATTTTGCCCGGGCAGTGCCGTTAGGCTACTCTTTTTGATTTCCAACTGCCAACAATGGGCGCCGATCTGATTATCCAGAGACCAGGGGGAATTACTAGAAGTCCAAGTCCACGTGCAAAAATCCCAACCCTTACAGGTGATTGAACCCGGAACATCTAGCCCTCGAGGCAGACACAATACCTCGAGACCATGCAGCCCCCTGAGGTGAAAGACTACTAAAAGTTTTTTTTTTAATCAGATGTG